GTCGTGTTTGGCCAGCCTGATCTCCTTTTATGACCAGGTGACCCACCTGGTGGATGCAGGAAGGGCTGTGAATGTTGTCTGGATTTCAGCAAGGCTTTGACACTGTCTCCCACAGCACACTCCTGGAACAGCTGGCAGCCCTTGGCTTGGGCAGGAGCACTCTGTGCTGGGTTAGGAGCTGGCTGGATGGCCAGGCCCAGAGAGTGGTGGTGAATGGTGCTGCACCCAGCTGGGGGCTGGGCACCAGTGGTGTCCCTCAGGGGTCTGTGCTCGGGTCAGTTCTGCTCAATATTTCTATTGATGATATGGATGAGGGAATTGAGTCCTCCATTAGTAAATTTGCAGAGGACACTAAGCTAGGAGTGTATGTTGATCTGTTGGAAGGGAGGAGAGCTCTGCAGAGAGACTTGGAGCAGTTGGATGGATGGGCAGAATCCAACAAGATGAAGTTTAATAAGTCCAAGTCCAAGTCTAAATGTAGGCCCGGTCCTACATTTTGGCCACAATAACCCCCTGCAGTCCCCACAGGCTGGGGACGCTGTGGCTGGACAGTGCCCAGGCAGAAAGGGACCTGGGGGGACTGGGGACAGCCAGCTGGACATGAGCCAGCAGTGTGCCCTGGTGGCCAAGAAGGCCAATGGCATCCTGGCCTGCACCAGGACTGGTGTGGCCAGCAGGAGCAGGGAGGTCATTCTCCCCCTGAACTGGGCACTGGTGAGGCTGTGTGGTGAGGCACCTCGAGTGCCGTGTCCAGTTCTGGGCCCTCAGTTTGGGAAGGACGTTGAGACGCTTGAGCGCGTCCAGAGGAGGCAACGAGGCTGGTGAGGGGCTTGGAACACAAGTCCTGTGGGGAATGGCTGAGGGAGCTGGGGTTGTTTAGCCTGGAGAAAAGGAGACTCAGGAGTGACCTCATCACTCTCTCCAACTTCCTGAAAGGTGTTTGCAGTCAGGTGGGGGTTGGTCTCTTTCTCCAGGCAGCAACTGACAGAACAAGAGGACACCATCTCAAGCTGCACCAAGGGAAATATAGGCTGGATATTAGGAGAAAGTTTTTTACAGAAAGAGTGACAAAGTACTGGAATGGTCTGCCCAGGGAGGTGGTGGAGTCACCATCCCTGGATATATTTAAAAACAGACTGAGTGTGGCACTTGGTGCCATGGTTTAGTTGAGGTGTTAGGGCATGGGTTGGACTCGATGATCTTGAAGGTCTCTTCCAACATAGTCATTCTGTGAATTACTGTAGCATCATATTTTCAAGATAAATGCATGGCCATGGCAGAGCAAAATCTCTGAGGACAGAGGAAGTTTCCCAAGTATACTTTTCCAGAGCTTTGTACTGTTATTCATCACGTCTTTCCCTGCTTTTACATTGTTGGGGGGGGAGCGGGGAGACTGTCTTATTTCTTCTGAAAAAAATTTTAAAAAAACCAAACAAACAGGGAAAGTCAATTGCATCACGATAACTAAAACTTTGTTTCTCTGGATCAGAAGCACAGCTAAACACAAACGGAGACCAGCAGCTGCCCCAAAAAAGCATGTACATTATCACCCTGAGGAAGCAAGGCTCTGTCTCACTCTTACTGCATATTCTTACATTGCAATAAAACATGCTCTGGAGCAATGGTCCCCTCTCTGGAGTACCTCAGGCGGACAAAGAGAAAAGTATTAATTATTGTCGGCTTTTTATCTAAAATAAAGGTATTTTATTTACCACAGAAGAGTATTCAGGAAAAATTACAACTTTACTAACACATAACATGTCTTGGCACTGCCATCTCATCTGGTGTTTATCCAGATGGTCGCACTTAAGGTAGACAGTACACAGAGTATCCTTGAGGAAGACTGGGTGCCTCACAGGGGTAGGAGGGAGTTGACAGTAACACCCTTGCTCATTCTTTCACTTTCAGTCTAAGTGAAACATTGAGTGACACACTGACATTTAGATGTGCCCAGTTAAGCAGATCTGTGGACTATATTACTTATTTGCATCTAAACTAACGCTCACAAAATGACCCAGTCTCTCAAAAAGGTTCTGGGAAAAAGCCTTGCAGATTGAAGGAAACACAAACGATACAAGCACTACCAGACCAGTCGTAGAGGTGATACTTCTGCTCCTAGTGCAAGTCCTTCATCAACCACTTTGCATGGTGATATCACTGACAATGGAGTCAGATTTGAGAAAAAGTTGGCCAAAAAAATTGAAAACTATCAAGGTTAGTATCAGAAATACAAATGTACAAGTGTTATTGTTAACAATGAACCTCTTTTTGAGTGTATATTGTACCTTTAGACATTAGCTAACAATAGTATGGAGCTAAAAGGATTAACAGGGCATTAACAAACTAGCCATCCAGAACATAAAGAACAACTTTTACAAGTTTTGTCAGCAATGTTTGAAGTCCTGTGATATTCAATCCAGTATTTCACAAACTTCACAGAAAACATTGCTGAAGGTTTGAAGAAATAAATACTAGATCAAGCTATTGGTTGTGGGAAATTTGAAACTACAAGTGTTCCTAAACCTGTCTCAGTTTATGGTACTTGCTAATTTTTTTTACATGATAAAGTATATAAAGAGCAACTTTTTTGTCAATCCCTAATGAAAAGATGTAATGGACAAGGTAGCTGCTCAACAGTAGATCATTCCTTTATTAAAAATTCTGTTTAGTGAAAGAAACTGGGTAAACATAACCACTTGATGAAATGGCTGCTTTGAACAGAATAAAAAAGGGATCTAAGGATAAGGTTACAGTAAGAGTGAAATTCATTCACTGATCACTCATATTCAAGCTAATGCAGCAAACAAACTGGAGATAAAAGCACACAAAGTCCTTTGTGTCTATTGTCATCAATGTGGTTAGCTTTATAAAAACAAGATCTTTCAATATTAGAATATTTACAATATTTGGAAACGGATGGGGAGTTACCATGAAAGTCTTTTATACTACAGGGGTTCACTGTTTATCCCATGCCAAAATCACATTTTTCTTTCAGAAAGAAAAGCAACTGTTCCACGTGTCCTGACTTCTTCTGTGATGAAAAGGACCTGCCAGTACTATGCTAAAATTTTTGAAAAATAATTTGATTTTTAACAACAATAATTTAATAATTTAACAACATTTAATGTGTGTCTTCAAGATAAAGATGTTTGTCTAACAATGAGCAAGAAATCTTTTCTTTTTAAGATAAAATTATTGTTTTAATAACAATAATTAGGAGCATTTAGAAAACAGAAGTTTGGAAATGTTCCTATCATCATGCCATTTTGTTGCAAAAAGAAATGTAGAAGTGTCAATAAAACCCTCCAATACCTGTACACTTGTACAGGGAAGTAACTTTCTAACCTGTTTTAAAAAATCTTCCAGAGGAAAGTTTTTCAATACATTTGTTAAATACACAAAAATTCAAGACCTTTCAATTCATTTGCAAATCCAACTGACTGACATCAGGGAAAATGGAAGCATCCTAGTTGAGTGTTAAGCTGAATAACATAATCTGCATAAGTAGTGGGCAGGACTGAAAAACAAGCATCATGATTAGTAAGCACAATCTTCAACACTTTCCATTTGGAACAGTATCTTTGTGAGGTATCTTTTCAGTGATGACAGATATTAAAGAGATATTAAATACATATTAAAGTTTAAAATCAAGATGGATTGAACTTAGAACCAAATCTTTGAAAGTCTGTACCACACTGTTGATTGAAAATTTCTAATAACAATGAGGCATCAGGTATTTCTGAGCATCACTTACCAGAGTTTTCTACTGGGAACAGAAAAATAGTTTACACTACTCATAAAAATACTTGAAATTTGTTTATCTAATCTATAGCTTACCTTTTCACATTTTTATTGTGTACTTAATTAGCCGAGTAGTACATATAGTAATTCATATACAGTAAGGGTGCATGCTTAAAGTACTTTTTTTGCATCCATCTCTGGATTTCCCATCAAAGGAAACCATCTGCTGGAGTGAGGAAGCTACAAAGATGATCTGGTGACTGGAGAACCTCTCCTGTGAAAACAAGCTACGAGAGCTGGGGTTGTTTAGCCAGCAGAAAAGAATGCTCTAGGGTGAACCCTTCAATATATAAAAAAGACTTGTAGGAAAGGAGGCGGCATTTCAGCAGGGCATGTAGTGATAGGACAAAGGGTAAGAGTTTTAAAATTAAAAGGGTGAAGTTTAGATTGGACATAGGGAAGAAAATGTCTACAATAAGGGTACTGATGCACTGTCACAGACTGCCCAGAGAAGCTGTGGATGCCCCATTCCTGGAAGTCCTGGAAATGTTCAAGGCTGGGTTGGCCAGGGTGGCTCTGAGCAATCTGTTCTAGTGAAGTGAAAGCTGTCCCCGTCTCATGATCTTTTAAAGGTCCCTTCCAACCATTCTGTGATTCTGAGATTCTGCTTCAAAAATCTGATCCATTGCTGGGATAAATCTGCAGTTTTAATTTATTATTAAAATTATTTCATTTTTAATATATTTTATTATTTGCAGCAATAAACTTGACAACTGCTACTTCTAACACTAACATACTGTATTTTATTCCATATATTAAGCATAATACATTCTAAGCTGGGATCATGAAAAACCTACCCAACCACAGTCTGGCTTGCAGCAAAAAAAAGACTATTCAGCATAGAAGCCCACACTTGAATTACAAGAATTTCAAAGAAAAACAGCCAAAAACCTAAGCCTCCACAGAAAAAGCATATTAATTCTGCAGTCGTGTTCAGATCAGAAATTATTCTCAGGGACTTTTTTATACTTTCATTCTCCACTTCTCTACCCCTCACTACTCCATCTCGTGGATGTCATGTCAGATACCAAAGGAATTTCTAGGCAAAGCATGCTTTTCACCACTCCTGATGACACAAACACAACACAACAGAACAGGAATTCAGGTACTGTCATCCAACGTGAGGATAAAGCCACTTCTGTTCTGAAGCAGCAAAGGCACAACAATGAACTTAGAAGAACACACACTTACGAAATCTAGAAAGCTTAATATTTATATTTATTATGCATTAGGAAGTTTATTAACTTAAAAATCAACTTGCACAGTACAAAAGGTTTCTTATCTGTGCTCAGTGTGGAACAAGTTTCAAAATACGTATTTTTAAAATGTGTTCAGTCAATACACAATCCTTTTAAAAAATTGTATAACTGTCTGTACCCTCATTACATTTATAAATACATGATTTACACAGCACCCCATCTGGAAAAACTAAAACTCCTTACAAATATCTACATATATTGCATACATATAAAACATTCATAGGAGTATTTCATCAAAGTTGGGTTTAATAGTCCATTTACATTGCAGCAAAATACATATAAATCTCTATCTTCTTCATAAAATGTCTCTAAAAATTAGCACATTTGTTACAATTCATAACTCCTTTGAAGCATCTTTTAAGAAAAAAAAAATATGGATATATCCATGATATTCAGCAGGTAAGACAGAGATATGAAGGCTGAATATTATTAATAACTGAACACTAAGAAGCAGTTAAGGCAGTGGTGAAAGGAATTAATAGGAAAAATTAGTTTATATGGCAGATAAAGTGACAAAATGCAGTACATACATATACATCTTGATGTAAAGTACTCTGGCACCCACTCAGAAGTGTCTGTATTTCTGACACTGCTTGCTTTAAAATTAAAATTTTACTTTTTATAATCAAAATGTTATTGGGACCTGGTTCTTGGGTGCCATCTGGATTTGCTTTAACTGCACGAAACTTAATATTCTAGAATGTGGGTTTAGGGTTTCTGTATAACCTTTATTTATGGGTAACTACTGTCACATGTGACCACACACATTAAGAATTCTGCCATCTCAGTTTCATCACTGCTTTCTGGTAACTACTAGACTACCTGTTAGTAAATAATATTTGAGAACTTCATTGATAACTACTATTTCAGGTATCAAAACTATATAGACATCAGTGCCTCCCATATCATGACTACATGTGGCATAGATGCAGACAAAAAGGCATAAGAAATGCAAAACAACCTATTATAGTGACGGCAGAAATTGTTTTGGCTGAAACCTGTTTATTTCGCATTATCTCACAATTTTAGGAGCTAAACATTCAAACCCTTAAAAAAATTCTCTTTCAATATTCAGGCTTCTACCCAATATCAAAATTTGACACAGCACTTGCAGTCCAGTATTGGGTAGAACCACACCAGCTTGTGACCTGCTGCTCTGAATAACCACTTCTGCAAGCATGACAGCCACCTCAAGTATCAAACAGCAAGTGACTGCCTGTCACAGTTGTCTTCCTCTCAAAGGCAAGATGCTCTGTACCTCCCATCAAGCTTCCAGAGACACAATTCAGTGCATGAATTTCTTCCATAGGCCCCTCAGAATTTAGCCTTCATACACTGCTATCCTGCAGCAGTGGTTCAGTGTCCTCTTCATTACTTTGGTCTAGGTTGTTACTCAGACTACCGCTGTTGCTGTTGCTGTGTTTTTTGGTACTGCTGGCTTTTCTGTTCTCAGGAATAAATAAGGCGACTAGAAAAGCCAGAAGAACAATGCACGCTCCAACCAGGAAGGGGGGACCAGGAATGATCGCACTCTACAGGAAAACAAGCATAATAAAGAATTCATGTTTCAGTCATTGACTTCTGCATTATGAACTACACCACTAAGGCAGGAAATCATGGGAGACATATTTATGGCGACTGTAAAATTTTTGCAAACAGGTTCATATGTACATTGTAGAGTGAATTTTCTGCATCTAAAATCCCCACAAATTCCTTCCCTGATCTCCACACTGATCTAAAAACCAAAACCACATAAAATTGTCAGTTGACAGTATGATTGCCTAGCAAACAGAACAGATGTTGACTTGATGCTTCTTTGTAATTTTGTTTTTTGCTTTAGGCAATATGCCTGTTAAATCAACAAGACTCCTCTCAACATTAATAGAATAAGGTTTTAACACCCAGAAGCACAAATACTCAATAAATCTTAGCTTTGCTTTTCCATTGCTTAGATACTGTAGGATAAGTTAGCCAAATAAACAAGCATCCCAAAAAAACAATATATGGGTGAGCAAAGTAACAGTAAGACCATTCTCATTGCTGAGACGTGTTATTCATGCATGATAACTTAGCATTTGGAGTTATTCTCTCTTGCTTCTAAGCTGTTTATTTGAAAATTCAAAACCAAAACTTACCCACATTTCATAGCCCCAACTAGAACACCAGAAAGGTTTTAAGATAAATTTTAAATCAGCCAAGTTTGATGACAAACCTCTACAAAAGAAGTGTCAACAATCCAGCTTCTCTTTTTAATCTTTAACTTTTCTGTAACTGTGTAAACTACTGGATAAAAATCAGAAGACAAAACTTGTCAATTCAGTGTACTTTTATTCTACCAAATGAAATGTAGGAAGCTATTCTTAAATGACGTGGGAAAGTAGCTGAGCATAAGTATAGAGCAACAGGGTATTTCTCTTGCTTCAATTTTTGTTACAATCAGAGGCCTAAATTTTCACCTGATGGTCTGTACACATGAAGTATATAAATATATCAAAAATGTACCTTGATGATATTAAATCTTCAAGAGGTACTACATACACAAATAGTTAAAAAAGAAATTAACTTTGACAAATTAATGCACCATCATTTGTAGTAGAACAGCTAATTCATCTGATCAGCTTTTGAGCATTACATGATTGTGGTTTCACTGAGAGGAATAAAAATCTTTCAAAAGCTGCCCTTTGTCATTGCATTGCCAAGTGTTATTATTATCCTCCAACACAGCCTACAGCTCCATGTTTGCTCTAAGAACTCAAACTTTAGTTCCAGTAAACTTACATCTTGAAGTTACCTGGTACTGTCACAATACTTAAACCAATGCTGCTACTACTGTAAATCTAAATACTTACTATCACATTTAAATTAGGAGCTATCTCAATAATTTAATAAAACTGCAAAGCGAGAATTAAGTAGTTTAAGATATGAAGATTTTAAATCAACCAAAAAAAAGACATATTTCTGGCCCTATGAGTTCTATGCAGCAAACTGCACACCAAATTTTGAACTAACCTTATCACTAAGATTCTGCTTTGTCTTTTTTTCAGAAGTGTTATCAGTTAGCAATTCATTGAGTTCCACATGGAAGAGAAAGAAAATAAAGCCATACAGTGCTGGTCCCAGGCCATTGCACAGTCCTCTCACTCCAGTTATTATTCCTTGGACAACACCTAATGAGGAAAAGAAAAAAAAAGTAGCATCTTCTTTTTACGGAAGGAAGAAATGCTCAGAGCCAAGAGCTCTCTGAGTCCATTTTAGTAATTGTTCCAAAATAGAGCATATCATAATTATTTCTACATTCTAAGATGTAAGAAGTGCATTGAAGACAAATATGTCAGATAAAAATAATCTTCTGCATGCATCACAGTTCTGTCATTACACTAGAAGAATTATGATTTTTATTATTGTATATTCTTTCATTATTATGATAATAATATCATTATGTACATTTAATTTTTTTATATTAGAGTTCTTCCACTCTCACCCTAAAATAAAGATAGTAAAGATAGCAGACCTTAAATGTGATTCACACTCAATTTATTTTCAAGTGAAATTCACAGTGATGTACCTAAGTGGTAAGAAATGTGATTGGGAAAATGTGCACAAATTGTGACCAGTATTTATTTAAATACCAAGTAACTTACTCAGGGCAGTAAATTAAGTGTACAGCACTAAATGCACAATACTTGACTGGCTGCAGTTTTACCCCAACTTCTTTTTAAAGCTTGACTAATCAAAGTGCTATTTCTGTTTCAACTTCATTAAATGATTGTGATAACAGTGCAAGAAGTGTTTTGATGATATTAACTTCACATAGTAAGTCTAAAAAATGCTATTTTACACTTTTAATAATATGCATCATTCTTAATGCAGTAATTTGTAAAGTGAGAGGAAAAGAAAACATTCAAAAAAATAGCTGTTCAAGTTTTTAATTCATAGGCTGATAATATGAAAGTTTAAAATCTTTATGCCACTAGGTGGCAAAACCTCAGCCTTGAAAGCCTTAGCTAGTAACACCAGTTTCCTCTTTGTGAAATCAAAGTTCAATGGCTTCTGTCAGCTTAACTAAAGTAGTCATTTCCTGAGGTAAACAAAAAACAAGTCATTAAAAATCTTTGAAATGTCTCAAAAAAAAAATGGGGGAGAGGGGAATAATTACAAAAACCCATGTAAAATACTATCTTTTGCATCTTTCAACAGAAATCCACCTCCTGGAACAGCATCTTTGTACTTCTCAGATTAACTGCATTTACCTAACTTCAGGTTGTGCAATGGTCAACTATAACTGATACTTGAAATTTATATGTACAGCATTTTTTAAAAGAGAATACTAAATTCAGCTCCTCTTACTAGTGTTTTAATTTGTGATAACTTCTCATTTTGCTTTAGAGGAGAACTAATTTCTGACTGTACATTGCTTGTCAGATCAAAACCAGTACATTTCGTGTTTTCTCAGATTAACTGGTTACTTTGGTTTTTTCTATGCCTTGAAAATCTGGCATAGAAAAATCTGGCAAAAATTGTATCAAATAGGGCCAACTTTTCTACAAAAAAATAAAGCTTCTTTCCTACATTTATTCCAATCTGGTAAAATGTGCAATTAAAAAGATAGCATTGTTACATTAATCCTCACTGTCTACTTAGAGAACACAGCACATAATAAAAGGAAGAGAAAAAAAGAGAAAGTTTTTGTTGCCTTCATAGTACTTTTACAGAAAGACAAGAAGTAGCTCATCAGAAATCACATATTTTACAATGCAATTATGATAAATTTGTGCACTTCCTTTGTCTCTACATAGATTGGCAGACTTCCATAGGGACTACCAAGTGAAGACTCACAAAGGTAACTTGAAAAGTACACCTAGATAACTCTTCTGCTTCCCAGACAAAAAAGTAATAATGATGCATAAACAGCAATTGACCCAATACTAACCTTGTTGATCTGCCTCCGCATTTCGTGAAACCAGAGCACTAATTGCTGGGAATGTAATGCTTGACATCGCTGCTATAGCTCCTGCTGCCCACATCATCCTGTGTTAAATACATAATTCAAATTAGAAATGAGACTGCCCTTATTAATTACTCCCCATGCTCCCAAGAGGACTATAAGGGCACACTTATTTAACACTTAATTCTCTTTCAAAATGTTCTTATTAAAATACCTAAAGACTGGAAGTTATCTGGTTATCTTCCTACTCCTCTCCCATATATTATTCTGAACTTGTTGGAACAGAAGCACATTTGATTTGATTCTATCCTAGCAGAGAAAAAGAGGGGAATGGGACTGAAGTGGGCTTTTCTCTCCAAACACAGTACAAAGGAACAATTTCCCAGGGTGTCCCAATGACGCAATTCTCTAGCTTCTGCAACTGACTAGGAAGTACTCTGATAAACAACAAGCACTCCCTCCCTCTCAGTAGGACACACTTCCTAAAGAAGTTGTTCTAGTTTATGGTGCTCATTGTCTCTACTTAAAGACAGTTTTTCCAACAGAAAAAACTCTAGATAGTTTCCAAGACTGATTATAGTTGGAGTTAGAGAATATGTTAGGAAAACAAAAACAAGTATAGGTACAATACCTAATGGTTAAAATAGATCTAGTGGAATTACTAGAGAGAACATACTACTTACTAGCTTGTGAATTTAAGAAAGAATTTTAACCACATTCATAGACTTAATACTCAGTGGAACAAAATGCTGCAAAGACTCACTTTTCAAAAGGGCTGTATGTACAGGAAATTTTATCATTCCTACATATGCAAAATACAGACCAAATTTTGGTACTGTAATGAAAATGGGAATGCTTAATTCACAGAACATGTGAATACCCATGACAACAGAATTAAACAGTAGAATTTTTGGGGGGAAAAAAAAAAACAACCTTTCAGTTTCTTGACAAGTGTATACATACCAAAATGTATGCTTACCAAGACTGAGATCCAAAGCCATACCAAGCCAGCTGAAAGATCTGAAAGCCAAGGCCAAGGAGAACTGTGTTTTTGTTCCCTATAGATCTCATCAAGACACTGAGGAACACAGTCTGGAAGAGAAATTGGTTCAACTAAAAGTTGTTTTAAAAAGTCAGACTTGCTAAAGTAATTTCTCTCAAGCAAAGGAATTCAGAAGACCGTTCATATGATGAGGAAATTCATACCATTTATCCTCTTACTTCTCCTGAATTAAGCCCCAAATACAAATAAGTCATTTCAGTATTTAATGTACAGATACTCTTAACTCTTAAAGAGTTACTATGTCGGGACAATGAGAAGCATATGTATTGCCTTCTCTATGTACATTAGATGACAGTGTTTATTTCTAATGCAAAAAAAGGCTTCCTTTTTCACCTCTACAAGCCTATTTTTATTACAGAATAGAGCATTCCACAAAATAAAAGTTGTTACCAAGCAAACACAGTGCAGACTGGACATGACTTGAATTTACCACTATCTACATATACTAGAGAAATAAGACAAGGAGACTTTTAGCTCAGAAGAAAGTAACTTAGGTTAGCTGAATTGTTTTGCAAATTTACATTTAAACTTACAAGTGTACAGCAAGTCTGATGCTTTGATCACCTTCATCACATACACTGAAATTTGACCAATTCCTAGGCACCATTAATTACGTTTTCTACTGACTCTTTACACCACTGACATGACCTTTTCATTTGTACACCACTGACATGACCTTTTCATTTGTACATGGAAGCTAATCCTAACCAAAGATCAATATTTCTATTTGTTAGAAGCATTACTGCTGAGGGGGAGGGAGATCCCAATTCAGATACAACAACAAGACGCTCATGGCAAGAAGCAGACACTTAGTAATGCAAATGGACAACTTGACACAGTTAATGGACCACATTTTTCTTTCACAGGAGAAACACTGAGGTAGAAATATTATAAAATAAAGGCCTTATAAAATCAGGCCTTGAAAGGCCTTATAAAATCAGGCCTTGCTCTGATGAATTACCAGCTAGCCTGTAATTTCCCAGAAGAAAAAAATTAAAGGAATGAAAAGTCAGTTAAATATGGGTTTTCTTACTATTCTAGTAAGAAAAATAAGTTTACACCTGCATAAACAATAGATCTGTCCCACGACAATCAGTGAAGAAAATATGTAAACAATCCAAAAATAAAGAGATTTGAGAGACAGATAGAATGCCAGTTACTAACCAGTGAATTAAGTAGCAAGAAAACTACTAGGCAATCAGAGTAAAACCCAGTCTGTGAATACTCTATAAAAATGAGTGATGTGAATACAGAACTAGCTTTTCCTAGATGAAGTAACTGAGTCTCATCTGCTTTATTTCAACACAGCAATGCTTCAGTAAAAATACAGACAAAAGCAACCAGGACCACAGAGCAGAATATACTTCCTCTCCTGTCTTCTGTCTCTTCCTGATTGTACTGAGTCTGGCTGGGATGGATTAATTTTCCCACAGCAGCTTTCCATGGGTAGCTGGAAAGGTGTTGTTAACACACCAGTGCTTTGGCTACTGCTGAGCAGTGCATACACTGATACAGAGTATCAGCGCTGTCTCTCAACATTCCCCCCACAGCAGATTGGGAATGCGTAAGATCCTGGGAGGGGACAAAACTTGGCCAGCTGACCCAAACTGACCAAAGGGATAACTCATCCCATATGGTATCAGCTCAGATATAAATGCAAGGGAAAGGAGGAGCAATGGGGAATTGTTATTTACAATGTTTGCCTTCCAGAGCAAATGCTATGTGTGCAGAAGACTCACTTCACAGGGAAGCAGAAAATAAACCAATTTTTTCCCTCTGTTTGTGCATGCCTAAACTTCTGCTTTAACAAAATTGCCTTATCTCCACCTAAGAACTGTTTTTCACCTTAATTCTTCTACCCTGTCTGGCTGGGG